AATGGGACCAATCGCTTTTTTAAAATTTTTGAAGGCTTTTTTTTTAAAGTTTAAACAACCAGGCTAGCAAAAAAAGGTACCCAATACATATTCATCTTATATCAAACAAGCTAATATTTCAGTACAAGGTAACTATACATAATATATACATTACACAGAGAATCACAAAAGCAAACACTACAGGCTCAGAACAAATCTTGAAAAAACCATGATATTCACATTGATTACAAGAACTCTAAAAATGATTGTAACAGTGAAACGGCACTTTAGTTTACAAAAAGTCACAAAAATATATATATATATATATATATAGCCACCAAGAACTATGGGTTCCTTAAAAATACTAATAGCCAGATATAGTATATAAAATGTAAAGTGTATTTCAACATTTAAAAAAAACCCAAAACATTTGTCTTCCCATTAAGTCAATCAACATGCTAAGAAGTTTAGCTGCGGTCAGCACAGACAGGGGGGGGGGGGGACTTTTTTGAATGAGATGTGGCTGGTGACCAAGGACTGGCACAGTTAAAGGGGAAGGTAGGCAAAGTCTCATGCTAGAATGGCCCTTTAGGAATTGATCCAGTCTTCTACCGACAGTTTTATCTCCCCCCCCCCTTTACGGTTTTTGTAACAGCCCAGAGACCAGACAGGCCTGCAGATGTTGGGCCAGGAAATACACTTTCTAGGGCTGTAGTCAGAAAAACCAGCAACATGCAGCATTATAGAGCAAATCAAACAACAGTGCCATCGATTTCAGAGGTCCCCAAACACTCCAGAAAAAGCAGCTGGAATACACTGATACAATATGGAGAACTTAAAAGAAAAAGAGCCAACTTTTAAAAGGGTGCATTTTGCATTTTTAAAAATAATTGCATCTTTTAACATACCAATTGTATTCTTTGATCAGCCTGCCTACTTGCCAGCCAATGATAACTTGCCAAGTATGGTTAGGACCTAAGCAGGATTTTTTTAAAAAACATGGTCTGGAGATTAGTGACTGAACAATATTTCATTTTGCCTTTATTAGAATCCGAAAAGTAAGGCTTGTCGTCAGCAGAAAAGCAGCAAGCAAGAAAGGAAAAAGTTTGTTTGCCTTTAATGCCATTCAAATACTCCTGGTGGCCATATTCTGTAGACTTTAAGATGCCAGGATTCAGATTTAGCCCTCTGCCATCTTCAGGCTGGTGAGAAAAAAAATCAGTAACCCTCTCCCCACAAAAGAAAAGCAAACAAACAGGCCAACGCCCTTATTCAAAATTTTGCATTATTAAAAAAATACAATTTTAATCTCTTTGGGGACCTGGGGCCTAGGGACTATAGTTTTATAAAATATAATATATATATTTATATATTTTGCTACACCGGCACTGGTTACTTTAAAAAAAAAAAAGATTCACATTTACACTTTCCAGACAAATGATAAGTGCCCAAACTAGAACTATTCTTAAAGACATTAACTGTTGTATTTGCATTAGAACCGGGAGCGTAAAATTGTTAAGTCTGAGGAAAGAGATTAACTGATTTATTTATTTTTTTTAAAAAAAACATAGTTATAAGAAGCTGGTGATAGAATATTTGCAATCCAAAAATGGATATTTTATAACCGCTTGAAGAAAATATGGAATTGTCTGCCATAAGCACATTCTTTTCTATTCTTTTGTTCCATGGGAGAAGTCAGAAAATAGGACTAAATAATATAAATCCCTTTCCAAATTTGGGAACAGATGCTTTCCATGGGGATATAAGTCTTTCTCCCAATTCATTGGTACAAAAACTTGAATTGCATATTTTCACTTTGGGAATACCACACTATAGATGGATAACCTGAATAGACAAGCACATATCCTAGCAACTTTAAAGGAACATGTCGCCTAAATTATGGATACTATCCTGTTTTATTAGTAATCACTTGTTACTAACAGGCACTGTCCACAAATAGGAAAATAAAAACTAGTGTCTTGAAAAAAAAAAAGCTTAAATCAAGACAAGTTCTATCCCATGAAAATCCAGACAGTTTCTTAAGTTCACTACTCAGCCATTTGGAAGCTGTTATATGAAATGTTCTCTACAAGGAAGACAGTAGCGATATCTAGATGAGATGCAAAGGTTCTACCTGAAAATTCAGATTGGAATAGGAAGGGGAAATCCACCCATAATAAATTGATTACGAGTGTGTTGCTAAGGAGAGGAACATAATTTGCTGCTACGGCTGGCCAGGATCCAAACACTCGGGGCTTAAACAACACTCCCGTGGGTCCTCCGTGAGTTGGGAATAGTTTGCCACACTGCTTACTTAAAATAGGCTGTGCAGAGAGCAGGGTTTGCATTTTCAAGTTAAACGTGTGCGTTGTTGCTGAAGACTTGATACGCCTCTGCTTTTAGACTCTGAATACTTTCCTTGTTGCGTGCTTCCCTTTGACCGTTGCTAACTAAAGTATGTCTGTCATCCTGGCTACCTTCACATGTTGAGTCAAAGGGGAGAAACTTGAAAAATGGCTTTGCTTACCAACAGGTAGCTCTGCACATCAGAAATACTTATGTAAGGAAAGGTTTCTCTTTGAGGGTGAGAGAAAAGTGAACTAATCCCCAGTTGGATCGAAGCTTTATAAAATCCTGAAAATGTATCAGGATACGGATTTTTTGTGTGCTATAACTTGGTAGGACAGGAATTACATAAATGTTTACCTTTGTGTAAGGTAAAATGTACCTTTGACATTTCAGAAAGCCAACCTTGCTTTGGCGTTATTTTCAAAAAGCAGCGATTTTTGAAATGTATTTTAAATATACATCATGTGCCTGAGCATATACCAAATATACAATCTACAATAGCAAATTGCTCTCCATTACTGATCTTATAGGAGGTAAAATGTGCTGTGTAGGTCACAAAAGGTCTCTGTGGATCTAAGTTAGATAACCTCACAATTCTTGCTAGACTGATTGTAAAGTCTCTTATATTAAACGGATTTGTTTCCTATTCTGTTTAGATCTGAGGTAACCAATTTGCAACCCTCAGAGCCCCTTTCTTATTATTTATTGTATTTATTTTAGTTTCATCTATTTTGCTTGGAACTCAGTTAATATGTCAGTGTGATTCCCCCACTCTTCAAAAAGCTGTGCATTTTAATTTAGATGTTAAGACAACTCAATGTGTGACTAAATAGATATATCCTGCATTTATGGAAGAAATAGTTTAATAATTACTAGGTGAGTAAAATCACGGTATGTATAGTGTAGCCAATGTCTTCTTTCCTGATATGAGTTTTAATTTATTTAATAAATATTCTGAAACATTCCATCCTGAAAATATCCCTTACTAAAAACTTTTTATTTACCAATCTGGAAGAGTGACTTAATCTTTTTATTAAAATTCATTGGAAGAAAAATCTACGCCTATCTCATAAAATACTTTAAATTTAATCTTTGTTAATAATTATATCAAGCCCTTTAAGAAGTTGCAGAGAAGTGCAGGAAGTAAGTCTCCTTGGATTTGGTGGATTTGCTAATTAAAAAAAACAAATTTCTTTGAAACTGTTATTTCCAAAGCTTCCCACAAACCTCATTCACCACTGCGTAAATATCAGTGCTTTTACAGTTATTTAAACATTTCCCCCATTTATTGTGTTCTATTATATTCTTAGTCTGATAACATGAAATTCAAATTATTTACGTTCCCCTCATAAATCTCATCCTTTAAAAAAATAAAGATGGTTTAAACAAACCCAAATAGAGGGGAATAAAATATTACATATAGTTTTTAGACTTACTAATAAGATGCTGGCAACAAAACCAAAATTGCTGGCCTGTAAATGCCCTTTGTTGCCTTCAGAATCCTTTTAGGGGAAAATAATAATTTGGTGATTGTTTGCTGGACCTGTGCTTGAAGTCAGAGTAATGGCTTTTATGAAACCAGCTTGGCAAGGGTATATAAACAATTTAGAATAGGAACATTTTATCATTGCAAACAGATCTTTTGTAAACAACTCTCACTGATTTGAAACTCTGCCTCTAAAGGAAAATAAATGGCTTGTTTTACTAAAAAAAAACAAACAAACCCCAGGCTAATAAAATTGCAGTAAATAGCACACATTCAGGCGTTAACTTGAAAAGAGCACATTAACGCGCCAAAGGTGTTTTTTGACTTTTGTAAACTCACTTCTCACTATACTTTTCTAGCATCCCAACTTGCTAAATGTGAATCAGGATTTCTTGACGCCTCGACTTCTGAAAATGAAGTTTTGGGATAAGGCCATTTGCATGAGAAGATTCTAAAAAAGCATGGCCTGCACAGGTGAGCATAACTGCACAGCCCCTACCCCACCTGTTTTGCCAAAGCCAATGAATCATCCGGTTTTAAAAATGTGCATGCAAAAGAACTGAAAGACTTAAAAGTGATTCCTTCTAACAACAGCAAGAACAAACAAAAAAAAATCAAACATCTACAAGGATCCTCAACCTTGGCAACTTTTTAAGACTTGTGGACTTCAACTCCCAGAATTCCTCAGCCTGGCTGAGGAATTCTGGGAGTTGAAGTCCACAAGTCTTAAAGTTGCCAAGGTTGAGGACCCCTGATCTACGACACTAGTTATTTAACTGCTTGAACTGGAAACTAGTCCAAACAAATCTTCAACACCCATCAATACCGTTTTCCTTAATGAGAGGTGCCGCAAAATTAGGACGGGCAAACCAACGTCAAAAGTTATTAGGCCTCATTTTAGACTCGGTGTGTGCTTGGCTGCTCTTTGAATTTAACCGTCTTATTCTGACCAACCCTTTCCTCTGCATTTTAAAATGCTTCCCGTACAAGGGACCATTGAAGGTGTGAAGAATAGTTGTGACGCTTGTTGCAGTTTAGAGCTTTCAACAGCATAGCTTATCAAGTGGAAAGGGGTACATTCACTCCACCCTTCCTGAAAATTAAATTAAAATGTACAAGACCAAAACACAGGCACTTTCCAAGAAGACCAAAACAAAAAACAAAAACGAAACCAAAACTTTTTGACTTATTCGATAGTGATAGACGAGAGCCCGGCGGCTTTCGGGAGCTCCTCTTGGCTGGCCTCGGCGCTTGAGAGGGTTTTCGGTTGCTCCGGCAGGTCTTCCTCCTTTTCTAGCAGCCCACCCAGAGGCCCCAACGGGAAAGTGCTTTCACAATTCTGGGTCGACGAGACCTGCGAAATAACCGGCATTTGGACCGAAGAGCTGCTTTCAAATCCATGCTCTCCTAGCTCGTACTGGCCAAGAGTCTCTTCATGTTCTTGGTTTAAGTAGTCTGGTACTAGGAAGTCACTGGAAAGGGGGCAAAAGGTTGGGAAGAGGTTATTTGGTCAGCAAGAGACAGGTTGACGCTAACTGCAGCATTACAGCTAAGCGAAGGGTATCTACTTTGCCGAGAAATGAGAACTGCCTGAGTTAAACAGAAGCACAATCTAGCAATCTGATGCCTGTTCGATTTACACGGTAGATATATGAACGACTTTAAAGCTTCTGGGCCAACCAACCAAAAGCCTCCGTCACAAAAGAATAAATTTAAGGTTGGGTGGCAATTGAACACAAAGCTGGTAAAATTTAAAGCAGGCAAAGAAAAGCGTCTGCAGGGAACTTTTCTACGATTGGCAGGTCTTTCAGTTCTACTGAGCCCAGTCCAGGTAAAATGAAGCAGTTTTGAGGTTCTGCTTTCAAAGGACCCAACATCTACGAAGGTCAATGTTGGTTGGGCTCTTTCTTTCTAAAAGTGGTCTAACTACCTGTTTCAGCTTAGCTGCCTCTCATTCTCCTCCACCAAGGATTTAAGGATAAGTAAGGCTTTTCATGCCGTACTCTGGCTGCTTCATTGCTTTTGAATGTAGTTATTATACAGCAATTGTGAAAAGAAAAGCAAGGAAAGAAGATTATTGCCAGGAAAGCTCTTATTTTTTTTTCCACCTTGGACAGGAAAATAAGTATTAATGCAAAGCAATTGAAAAGCAGCTTACTTTTTTGATTACTCGAAATCCGTATCTATACTGACAGATAAATGTTATATTTCAAAACACTGACACAAGGCAGGGCCACGACTGCAACATGGTATTCTCTAAATGTGCTGGGCTCCTTAAGTTTCCGACCAACTGGCCTTAACCCAAGTTGGGTGTAGATTGTACAAAATGGGAATCCAGCACATCTTGAAGGTGCCATGCTGGACAAGACTTGAGTACCGCCTGGGACCGTGATAAACCTGGCGACCTGACAGAAAAAGATACTACAGGTTGCCGTGAAATAGAACAGGTAGTCCTTGACTTACAATCACATTTGGGACCAGAATTTCCTTTGCTAAGCAAGTCACACCAGATTTTATGACTCTTTTTTGGGTTTGTTAAGCAAATCATTGCAGCTGTTAAGTGATTCACACGGTCGTTAAGCAAATCTGGCTTTCCCCATTGACTTTGCTTGTCAGAAGTCAATTGGGAAGGTTGCAAATGTTGGTCACGTGACCCCAGGACCCTTGTAAATACATGCTGAATGTCAAGCGCCCAAATTTTTGACCATGTAGCCCTGGGGATGCTGCAACGGTCCTAAGTACGAGGACCAATTGTAAGTCACTTTTATCAATGCTGTTGTAACTGGTCGCGAAACGAATGGTCGTAAGCCGAGGACTACTCATATAAAAGAGGGGTTAGGAAAAAATAAAGTTGCCCTAACAGTTTTCTTTTTCTTTTGGTGCACCTCACCTGCTCTGGAAGTAGTTTGCTAGCTCTGACGCTTCATGGTTCAGACTCCTCAGATGAACGATTAAATTTCCAGAGTTGGTGAACATGGCGCCACATGTTTTGCACTCGTAAATCCGAGGCTTGCGGATAATGTGCCGGGAAACCCGCATGTGGTGTTTATATTCCCCGAAGGAAGTGAAAGTGGCACTACATATCTGGCACCGGAAACAGCGTTTACCTTCGTGCTTCAGGCGATGCATCTTAAGCGAGTAAGCCCGGGTGAACTTTTTCCCACAGCGGTCGCACTGAAATGGTTTAATGCCTGGGGAAAGAATAAGCGGAAAATCTTCACCACGGAACAGCATCGGGAATAAAATTCCAGCCCCTCCTAATGGCAACGCGTCGGCCTATTTACACCGAGGCTGTGTAAACTTCTAAAAACAAGAGGACAATTCGGTCAAGATTTTCGAGCACTGGATGCCCTTTCCCCAAAACTAAGTATTTAAATCTTTGAACTGAATATCGAGTAAGATAATAAGACCGTTCCCTTATTACATTTCTGAAGAGCTGTGAAAGCACATCTGTTCAGGGGCAGGAACGAATGAAAACATGTTATGCCCAGCAGTGGTGCATCATATTGGTTGTAATTTCTGGTTTAATGGATTTTATTAATTTTATTCCAGCTTGGGTCAGGGGGGTGTAAACCACTCAGAGTTGTCATAAATGGAGCGCCGTATCAAGCAAAGTCAAGAAATACACTAAGAGGTTGTTAATAAAAGGATGTAGTATAAATCTGAGGATCATACAAAGGCCTGCTAGGGGAGATATGGGATATATATCTGCAACAATTATTAACTTTTCTGGGTTAAAAACATATCCCCCGTTATCTTTTTTAAAAAGGAGAAAATCTTACATTTATGTAAAACATCCTTCTTATATTGCAGGAAACCAGGATTCAAGGATTCAACAGAATAAGAGAGATACATAAAGACTAAAACCAGGTCTGATGCATTTGTTACCGTGTTTTTATTTCTAGAAAAAAACTCATGTGAAGCATTCTGCTTTCCAGTCTAAATTCTCAGGCTTCCAGAAATCAAAGCGGATGTCTCCTTCCATTTAATTGCATTCTTGCAGTAAGAGCTATTAACAGCCATACATTGCTTCAAAACATTCAGGTCGTCTTCGTTTAGCAACCACAACTGGGACTGGCAACCCGGTCGTTAAGCAAAGGGATCTCTAAGTGAAAGTGCAACTGTACTTACAATCTGACTTCACAGAACTGGGAAGCTGTACCTGTGAACTGTCACTGAATGAGGCAGTTGCTAACTGAGGACTCCCTCTATAGCAGGCATGTCAAACTGCTGGCCCGCGGGTTGGGTGCGTCACGCCGAAACTGCGTCCACCCCATTGCCGGCAATGGGGGAAAAGTCACGTGACGTTGCGCGACGTCACGTGAGTTTGACATGCCTGCTCTATAGGCTCTTGTTCAAATTAAACCTTTGGGAAGTGGACCCACCACATATCCTTACCTGAGTGGATGAGCATGTGTTGTTTTAAGTTCTGAATGCGGGTGAATCGAACCCCACAAGTTGGACATTGAAAAGGTCTGTCAGGACCATTTGGGCTAGGTCTCTCTGTACTACTGGTTGTAGGAGCAATATAGAGCTGGTAAGGGTATTGGACATTCTCCAGTCTGAAGAAGCAAATAGTAACTCTTTTAGTAGCAGATCAAGAGGAAAAAGATCAAGTGTACAAAATACAACACAAATGCATTTCAAAAAGACAATGATGATGATGTTAGGATCAAAGACAAAGAATTGGAGATCACAAAGTATCAAGATCTGAAAAATGCAGCTGAAAGATTATGGTGGCAGTGGCGGTTCCAGGGGTTACTGGTACACTTGATGCCGTACCATGAAATCTTGGATGGCACTTAGAAAATCTGAGCATTGACAAATTTTCCATCTATCAGTTGCAAAAGGCAACACTGCTTGGACCCACACACTACACCGATACATATGACGTCCTAGGTTCTTGGGAAAAACTTAATGTGTTTGAAGCCAACATCAATTAAAGAACTGGCAGTTGTGACTTCTTGTTGTGAAGAGGTAACAGTACAACAAAAACTAAGTCTACTAAACTATATTAAATGACTGAATTCCGAATGACTGAAAAAGGTAATTTTAAACAAAGTCTTGAGGAAAGAGATGGACCAGGGTACGAAAATAAAGAGTTGCAATTAAAATACCATCACAGTGAACCTGGTATAAAATACTGGTTACAATAATAATTTCAACAGCTGATACTTGAATAATATTAAACTGGTGTACATTTGGAAAGGTCAGAAATCTTTTGTGGGCACATAATGTTATATAGTCATACCTATTTCAGGAAATGCTTTTTAAACAATCCAGGTGCTGCATAAGTGTGTTAGGCTTTTAATTTTGCTTTTTTTAAAAGCCACTTATTGGCCACATCAAAGTTTTTAATATGTTAAACTTCTTCCACCTCTGAATCTTTTTGATAGATATTCGCTCCTATTTTTAAAAAGTAGGAATCTACTTGATTGAAAGTATCTCCCTAATGTGGACTACATAAATGCCCAGATTTATTCTGTTCTGCTAATCCCCACTTTAATCACTCTGCAACTATATATTTGTTCTATTGCCAGCCAACGTATCCACATGGTGTATGCACAAAAAACGAACATGAAAAGGAAGTTAGGTTGTGAGGTGCTTGATGCTCTCTGAACTTAGTTGTTTTCTTCGATGCCTGCAAGAAAACAACAAAATCAGAGCCCATCAAAGACCCGACAGTTCAACCCTACAAATATTCTTTTCTGTTGGAAGTTAGGTTGTCAGAAACAGTAACTGATTCAAAGTGACCTAGGAAACTCGGTCTAAGTAGTATCACAGCTTGAAAATTCCTTGTTCTGCTTAGGAATGTAAAATGTAAAAAAAAAAATAGCCTGGTGACAGGCAGCGTGGATACTGAACTTTGGAATGTGTGTTCATGAACCTCATATCTTTTATCTCATGACTGGCTACTGGCTCTGGATTCCACTTGTTTAGAAAACCGTGCATTTTCCCAGGGTTGAAGGAGATCCGTCATGTTTGTCACCATCTTAGATGACTCAATACAGCAATCTAGCTACAAAGATCTAGTTCAGGTATTATACATCACTTTCCTCCAGCCTGACACACTGTCCCTATGTCATGGGATTGCAACTCTTGGTAGTACGGTCAACTACTCTACTGGCTTGAAATTCTAGGAACCCTAACAAAGACAAAATGAAGAAGATTGTTCTGCAGAATGTTTTGTGTACTATATTTATACGTACCGGTCATCATCTTCCACATGGATATTCCCACCAGAAGTACTCTGGAGTGATGGTAATCCTTCAGTGACACCTTCATCTATTGAACCTAGGGGCAGTTAAACAAATCATACACATTAAGTTACAGTTTAATCAGAACCATAGCAATGTCTTTTCACATCCTCCTCACAACTCTTTCACGGACCACAAGATATCTTGCTGCCATATTTAAGAATTCTGTTATCACCTAATAGGATAATGATGTAAACCAATCTGCATAAATTATAAAGAGCAAATTTTAATAAATTTGGCCTATTTGGATTCAGGAGATTTTTCAATTGGAAAAAAGGCTTAGATACACATTAAGTGGAGGCAGGACTGTGATTACAAAGCTAGTTTATTGTTTAAACAATGGCCCTGGAAGGACGTAAAACAGGCTAAACACTACAACGCACAGAGGCAGAAACAAATAACTGTAAAGCTCACGTTCCTCCTCATAACATTTCCCCAGTATTGATGCCAGATTTGTGTTGCTTATTATTTCAGTACACCCCAAAGAGCCCTAACTGAAGCAGAGTCTGCCTAAAGCAAAATTAATGGAAAACACAAGGATTTGTTGTCAGTTAAGATCTGCAGCATTCATTAGTATTGTGTTTCCACTCATCTGTACTGAAGCCATTTCAAAACTGTATCAAAAAAGATGCAGGAGGAAGATTTGTTAAGGGTGGTTAGATTATTAGAGAAACTGTAAGCTCTTCAAGACTCCCTTAATATAGTACAGCATAAGAGGCCTTTTACTGTCATGTCCTTTACTGGAAACCATATTCCAAAGCAGATTATTATTTTGGATTCTGAGTGTGTGATATCTTAAACCTGTCTAGGAGAGAGAGCTCTGCTGCTATTTCTAAGGAATCAGGACTTGAGTGATTTGTTATTAACTCATGGCTACAAACAGAACTATAAGTCCCACATAATTCACTGGAATTTATTTCTGAGTCACTATGATCACGATCAGTATTAGGCTACTTATATTGTCTGGAATTGCTAAAATAACTTGTGTTTAAAGATTGAAAGCTGTTGTGACCTGAATATGAAAAACCATTAGAGCTGGTAAGATTGTTTTAATGTTTGACATCTACAAAAAGAAACTTGCATCAATTTAAGGCACTGACTTCTGTTTAACTGTAATATGCTGTTGTTCTCCATCAATATCTTACTGCTTTAGAAAACAGTGAGGGAAAGAAAGGCCCATTGTTTAATAATGAGACAAATGTCTCCTAAACATGATTGTGGGTTCCAGTTCCAGGCGCCTTCATTTAAAGGATTCTTAAAAGCACACAATTGGAAGGATCTTTGTGCCAGACCCTGGGAAGCTACTGCTGGTTACAGCAGACCATATTAGATTTTTTAAAAAGAAAAGGCTTCCTTGAGCCAAACCTGAATCCTGATCACTACATAGTCAAGACCATTTAATTTCTGTTACCAACAATACTTTCCTCCATGATTTTTTT